AGATGATCTGGAGACCCTTTCAAAAAGATTCAGATATCCTTTCAAAAAAGAGCTTGGGCAGATCTGATAATCCTTTTTTTATAAAAAAAAAAAAAAAAAAAGAGAGAGAGAGAGAGAGAGCTTGAAAAGATTTGGTGATCCTTTCAAAAAGGAGCTTGAAAAGATCTGGAGATTCTTTCAAATAGAACTTGAAAAGATCTGGAGATTCTTTCAAAAGCTCGTTTTGATATAGATACTCCTTTTAAGATCATTGTCATGAAGCCAAATGAAAGAGGAAGTATTAATCATGTCTTCTGCAAACACTTAATAAATAACTTATTAACAGACTATTTATACATGAAGCAGCACTTAATATGCTTCTACAGATATAATGACGTTTCTTTTTGGCCTTGTACATTTTGAAATAGATCAGCGATATTTGGGTAATGCTTAGCAAGCTTGTCTAGCAACCTATTACTATTATATAGTGAGTTTGATCCTCACTGGGTGGCTCACACTTATGGCCTTGTAACAAACCAATTCTAAACATGACTCAAAGAGTCCTGGCAAATAGATTTGAATCATATAATAAAACATTGGTTCTTTATCTATTCAAGTTATAGATTCTCACTCATAGTCTACTTAAATAATAAATCAAACAAACAAAAAAATATTATACAATAATTATGATGTTCTCATCTTTAGGGCACCTCAAGGCGGTGTAATGGTTAGCAAGGTTGTCTTGCTAAAACAATTACGATTGAGTAGTGAGTTCGATCTTCACTGGGTGCCCCCTGATTTTGGCTTTGTGAAACATCTAAGCTACGCTTGGAAAATCACTATAGTGTTCTCATCTTAATAGTTATCGCCACAACATTTTGACAGTTGTACTCTTCAGCCTTCTTTATATCTCTAACAAAATTTGTTCTCATTCCACTGTCCATGTCTAAGGATATCTCATCTTAGTTATTCATTCAGTTATTGTATGTCCCATTTCTACAGAGTCTGAATATATCTGTACTACCCACCCCAGGGATTGAACTTACAATTATTATGTCACTAAAATGCTTTAATTGGGTTCAACTGAACCCTTTATTCAATCAATAGGGATAGATTGTTCTTATTTCACTTTCTAGTAATTAGGTAAATTTCTATTTTGTTTCCTGAGCACTAATATCCCTTCAAATTTTTCCAAAATTGTCATAATTCCGTGCAAAGGTACATGCTGAACTCGAATTAACAATTAAATTATGAAGAAACCTTACCATTTTGAAGTTATCGACAAGAAAAAATCAGACCTCTTGTTAGTCATTCGTCCCCCATTATTGCCATCATGAATCCTCATTTGCTGCGGGATACTTGCGCTTGCCTTTGGCCTATTTACTTCTTTTATAGACTTTCCTTGCAGAAAATAACTACACACTACCGTAAAGAAATGTAAATTTTTTTTTGGTAAGTTTAGTTTTATTTATAACAAAAAAGAATTAAATAATACAATAGAACCTTTTTTACCGTTTCAAATAGCAATGACAAATTAAAAAACAAATTAAATAATAAAAATAAAGCATTTTTTATATTGTAAAATTGAAAATAAAAAAAAGTTAATACACAAACTTGGTAAAGTAGAAGGTTTGATTGTATTATTTCATCTGTTTTTAAATTGTCCCCTTTTCTACACAGAAAACCCCACCCCTGACCTTAACAACTAACCCTAAAGTTAATCTTTAGGGTTAGGTGTTAAGGTTAGGTTGGGTTTTTTTTGCAGTAGAAAAGGGACAAAAATTAATGCACAAACTTGGTAAAGTAGAAGGGTTGATTGTATTATTTAATTTTTTTTTTAATTTGTCCCCTTTTCACACAGAAAACCCCTTCCTAACCTTAACATACAACCTAAAGTTAATCTTTTTTAATTTGTCCCCTTTTCTGCACAGAAAAAAAGCCCCAACCTAAACCTTAACACCTAACCCAAAAGTTAATCTTTAGGGTTTCTTTAAGGTTGAGGGTGTTTTCTTTTGTAGTGAAAAGGGGACAAATTAAAAATAAAAAAACATTAAATAATTTATCAAGTTTGTACATTAATTTTTTTTTTTATTTTCAATTTTACAATATAAAACATGCTTTATTTTTATTATTTAATTTGTTCTTTTAAGTTGTCATTGCTATTCGAAACGGAAAAAAGGTTCTATTGTATTATTTAATTTGTTTTTGTTATAAATAAAACCAAACTTACCAAAAAAAAAAAATTTATATTTCTTTATGGTAGTGCGTAGTGATTTTCTGTAAGGGAAGTAAAGAAGTAAATAGGCCAAAAATTTATGGCTCCACCAAAAATCTTTCCGCAGTGAATTACTTCTCAATAAGCCGGTAATGGCTGACGAAAGACCGAGAAGAAGTCCGATTTTTTTCTGGTCGTTAACATCCAAAAAGGTTCATGATCTAATTGTTGCATTGAGTTCAGAATGTACACTTGCATGGAAGTAAGACTATTTTGGAAAAATTTGAAGGGATATTAGCGCTCGGGAAACAAAATAGAAATTTACCAGTAATTCTAACTTCTTATCAACAATTGTGGAATTTTAATAAATAAAGCATATACACAAAAAGAAAAATAAACAAAAGCTAAGCATTTCTTTTTAATCTGTTGAATGAAATATAAATGAAAAATAAAAGTTTAAGATATTTGTTTTATTTCTGTGAAAAACCTTTGGATCTAATTGTAAGAATTAATTTTCTGTCAATTTTTGAATGAAAAACTTGAATGAACCATTAAAAAAAACAATGATTATATATTTTCTGCTTAAAAGTTAAATTGAAAATACAAGGGTGAATTTAAAAAATAATAAACATGAAAATTTAGTCCCAACATGAAGCAGGTAATTATAGCTGAAAACATTTTATAAACTATAAAAACTTTTTTGATTGTGATCCGTTGTAATGAATACATTATTATTCTTTATATAGAAAATGACTGCATAGACTAGAATTATTCATGACTGTTAATTTATAGTTACTGAGCAAGAAAATTAATAAGAACATTTCCATGTAAAATTATTCAAGGTGAGTGAACCGAGATATTTAAATAAAAATAAAAATGTACATTTTATGAAAAATTACAGTAAAATTCAAATTCGTTTTTGTTAATTTTTAAAAGTTTACATTTATTTCTTAAACATTTTAATAGTTTTTTATTATGCAATTAACAATTATATATGAAAACAGAGTTAAAAAGAAAAAAATGGTTCAATTTAGAGTCTGTATAAACTTTTGTGGGGACAATTAAAGTTTTATTTCAAGACAGTGACAGTTCTGGGATGACTTGAGCCCTGAAATAACTCATTAGTTTTATAACCACTGTATTATTATTATTATTATTATTATACTTTTTTTTCTTCTTCTTATTATTATTAATATTAATATTCTATTATTATTATTATTATTAATAATATTCTTATCATTATTTTTCTTATTAATATTCTTATCATTATTTTTCTTATTAATATTATTATTAATATTCTTATTATTAATAATATTCTTATCATTATTTTTCTTCTCATTATTATTCTTATTATTCTTATTCTTATTATCATTCTTATTGTTATTATTTATGATCAAACAATTTCCTCATCTTCGTTGTTTGTTTTTTTTTTTTTTTACAGGTTCAACCTTTACAAAGCCTTGGGGCCACTCAAGGTAGAGGGTTACATTAGGAGGCAATTTTTGCAGATAGGAGTGGAAGATAAACAGTTAATCCTAGACTTGGACTGATTAAGATTGTAGTAACCAAAGAAACACCCTTTTAGAAATCAGTTCCACAGAGCAGCAGTTCATGAGAAGAAGCTGTTCAAGTGAAACTTCTCACCAATGTAATCACATTTTCTAGCTTTCTTCAGGTATCTGTCAATCCAGGTAACCATTGGAGAATTTCAAACTGAAAACTTTATTCACTTTAGATTGTTCTGATTCTTCTGTCCATGTCTAAGGATATCTCATCTTAGTTTATCATTCAGTTATTGCATGCCCAGTTTCTACCAAGCTATGGTATGTGTACTACCTGGGCCAGAGATTGAACTCACAATTATTAAGTCACTAAAGTCACTAACCAATGCTTTAATCCCACAGATCAGAGGTCAGCTTTTGCTAACAATGTGACGATTAGGGTTTAAAATCATTCAGTTTGCCAACAGCATATGTATTTTTATACAAGTCAAGGTCAATATACCAGTTCTACAGTATATTTTATATAGTAATATATATAGTTGTTTTGGCCTTGTTAGGGCCAGAAATAAAAACACAAAAGAGGAATTGAGTTAAACAAATATATTAACAGAAACAGTAATACAAACATATACAAACGAGAGTGTTACTGCAAGAATGTTTGGTCCGACTGTCAGAACTGACTGCTGGAAACTTCCCTCTCCAAAAGGCAGTACCTGCTCCTAGTTATAGCTGAGAGAATAAATGGGTAAATTATCATAACAATAGTATATATACTTTAGTATATATTAAAATTGAAACAGCTAAATATCTTCTTTGCATTATAGTCATTATTGGTTCGAACTTCATTCTGTCATTTGCGGCTGCGTGTCATTGGAAATTGCTTGGCGTGCCACATGCGGTATGCATGTCATAGGTTGCTGACCACTGCCATAGATAGTTGTGATCATAACAACAAAGATAAAGATGTTAGTTAATCAGTAAATCAGACAGGAATTATTTTTTTGGTTTTGTCAAAGTATAACATTGATTTCTATTAGGGACGCTCCACTTAATCGGTTAATAATCAGGTAATTAGTCATATCAGCATTTGTAATTAAACAGTCATCAGCTTTCTTCTTGAACCTCCCAAGATAACTGAATGTGAAAACTGATTGCTTTGTCTTCATACTCAAGCACTCTTGTTTATTACATCACAGAAACTTCATCCTAAGCTAACAAATAATCAGTTACTTTAGATATAGATTGAATTTAAATAACGTTTTTTTTCATTAATTTTTCTGACAGTTTTTAATAAGAATAGTGGCTTATGGCCACATCATGTTGAAACATTGGTTCCCATAAGATCACCAAAGTTAAGCAATGTCAAGCCTGGTCAGTACCTAGATGTGAGACCTCTTGAGAATACCAGGTGCAGTAAGCTTGGATGTGCAGGTGGTGTAAAGGATAATAGCTCAGAATTGTTAATCTGAGAGCCAACTTCTGATTCCTCTGGGGTTTGTTATATTCCCTTATGCACTAATACCCTTGAGAAAGGCATGAATGGATCTTTTCACCCCTCCAGCTATTGGTTAATTATCAACTCTTGTATCACTAAGATATTACTATCTCAAGACATCCTGGGTAAGACAATAAACTACATTTGATAGAAAGGCCTTTGATCAGGAGGTTTTGAGGAGCATGGAACCACCTCTTAATTGCTGGAGTTCCCAGGTCCACACTGACCCGGGATGGTAACACATGTCAGGGTCCCAGCTATAGGCAAATAGTTAACCTGTCTCCAAAAGGGGTCAAAACATAACAAAATTATAAAAATAGGTTTTAATACCAGCAATGCTTTTTTGGAAAAATTATTACCAGCAGTACATTTTTGGAAAAGAAAAATATTACCAGCAAACATTTTTGAAAAAAAATATTACCAGCAATAAAAATCTTGTCAACATTAAATAACCCATTGAGGTTGACATGCCGTAAAACAAAACAAACCAAACCCCCCCAAAAAATTATTTCTTACTATCTAAAAATATTTTCTGGCTTATTTAAAGCCAGAAAATATTTAAATATTTATTTAAACCTGCAATGAGTTGATAAACCATAAAAAAGGAATCACTGTATCAATCAGAATAATTCAATTACTGATTATCAAACAATCCCTGCAGTACTCATTTTTATCACTAAAATTATTCAAGGATAAAAAAAAAATTAAGTATGGAGAAATAAAAAAAAGTTATCCCAATATAAATAAAAAATATTCAAGTACAGACAAAAAAAAACAATTTTTCAACTGTAAATAAAGAAGATTAAGTATAGATAAAAAAAATTATTCAAGTACAAATAAAAAAATAAGTACAGATAAATAAAATAATTCAAGTACACTTAATCATCTACTTAAAATGAAATTATGTTCCAAGGGGCTTATCAGAAAGTAAAAAAATAAAAATAGTCCCTATTATATTGAGTTTCCATCTCTTATACCACTGGTATTAGATATAGTCAAAGATAAGCACTGGGAGACATTAATACCTATGATCATGAGTGATATGGTGAACTTTGAGAATGTTGCCAACCTATCTTGCCATTGGAAAAAATATCTTACGCCCAATAAAAAAATAAAAAATTCTAAAAATTTGATAACTATTTATAACAAAGAGTCAGCTATTTATATTATTAACATTTGGACTAATATTTTTATCTTTTTTGTTGTTATCATAATGTTTTTTTGGCTGTTGTGCCTTCTAGACTTCTTCAAATGTCTTTTGATCTGAGTAACTTTCAGGGAATTTTGAACTGAACCCTTTATTTCCTTTACATTTGGACTAATATCTTTATCTTTTTTGTTGTTATGTTTCAGCTGTTGTGCCTGTCAGCCTTCTTAAAACACTTAAAGAAGTCTGAAGAGCACAATGGCCAAAATATAGGGATAATAACAACAGAAATGAAGATATTAGTCTGATTATAAATAATATAAATAATTTACAGTATTTTTATCTGCTCTCTCCTTTAAGTACAAAATGGAAATAATGCAGCTTAATAAGTAAGATAGTCTGCTAACAAGAAAGAAATCATGTCCTTTGTGGTCCACTCCGCTTCTTATTACCCATCACAGAATGTTTATTTGGGAATTGCAATAAAAACAACATCAATTAAGATGAAAGAAATATTTGTCAAAAATCAATAATAATTGGGAAATCTTAATCAAAGAAAATCAATGACTATTTTTTTTAAGAAGGAATAAATTCGCATTGGGATACTTCCATTTGCAATTTGGATATCAGGACCAAAATATTCAACTTCGGCAACACCCATTTTTAAAAATTTATTTGCACTATTCTAAGTCCGGCACAAGGCCAAATTTATAGAGCATTCAGTGATAATCATTCCCAATCAGTTTTCTTTGTTTTTGGTTGGCATCCTTATTTCTTTAAAACTTGTTAATTGGCATTGTACTCCTTTGCTAGGATAACATTGTTGGCCCTTCTTTGGATTTTGTCAAGTATCTTGAGATATATAGCCAGAAAACCAGATCAGATATGGCAACAATATTCAATGCACAGATGAATGGTAGATTTATGAATGTGCAAGATAGATCCTGACGAGAAAAATTGTCTGGCAAGACATGGTGAACCAACATTCTTAGCAGAAAATCTAGTAATTAATTCAATTGCTTCACTTCATCTGAGGCTACAACCTTTAACTTTTCTCTTTTTAAAACCATGAATAGCAAAGCTAAGAAAAGTGTAAGGATCATTCCTTAAAACAGATTTACTCCAGATACCAAATATAGACAGATATTGAATGATCGGTATG